CTGCATCATGAGCCATGAGCCAAAGAAGCATTTTCATTTTCTCATGGATTTGTTGGCGCCAGATGAATTTCAAGTTGAAAGTTCCTGCACTAGAGAAACCTTCATTTAAAAAAGAGTAGGCAGAACAAACAAATAGAGAATTTACTAGGAGTGTTAATGCTTGTCCTTGTCCTTGTCAAGATAAGATTTTGTGAGAAGGAACAAAAATATGTTTTAGACGGGACATAGGATCATCATTGGGATATCTCATCCCATCCCGAATACATTATTATATTTTTTTCTTTTATTAATATTTAATATAATAGAGTCAAAAGTATATATTTTGTGTTTATTTATCTTATCTTTCTTACATAATCACCGACCCATTTATGTTATGACATTCAAGAATTATGTTGTTATAATATTTGAAGCTTGGAAGTCATTTGTGGTTAGTGTGTACTTGACATTAAATAGTGGTTGTTGTCATTGTGTTCTTTCACTTTAAATTGTTGTTGTAAATCAATAAGGTCATGTTTGCTTAAGAGGATGAAATAAAATGGAATTGATTGAAAAAATAAAAGTAAAGATAAAATGATTAAAGGGGACAGGTGAGTACATTCATAAGGGAGAAAGGTAGATTAGTTCATAGGATTGGGAGTCATGATTCATGAGATTTTTAAAAGGTGTGATAATTTTCACATATGTATAATATATTAATAAGTTTTATCATGTTTACTATGGGGAAAAGTGTAATTTAGTTCATTTTTGTCTTTATTATTTTAATCAATTTCATTCCATTCTATTCCAATAAACAAATGTGACTTAATTGAATTTATATACTCATGTTGTTTTGATTTTGAACTTAGTAAGTTATATAATTTAAAAAATAGTATTATCCAACTTGTTTTCATGTTTTGTCTGCTTTATCAAGAAGTCCCGATCCTGATCTAGGTCCCATCCTGTCTCAATCCAAAATAAGATTAGACAAGACACGGGACAAAACTTAAGTACAGCTCATGTTTCACTCTGTATCACCATTTGCATGCATGTGACTTCGAATTTCCCTAAAAACCGTGAGAGGAGGAAATAGATCGAATTGTCCAAGAAAATTTCTTGAGAGGAGGGTCCATGATATAGAATAATGTGTTCTAAATTAAACAATTAAAATAGAAGGGGAAGGGAGTTGCTGGGATGCCCCGTTAAAAAGATTTAAAATAACGTATTAACTGTGAGGTCTGAATAATTCGACAAAAGTTCCAATTCTCAAGATTTTATTAACATATTTAGTCTTTCCTTGTTCTTTGGTGCCAACATTTTTATATTAAAATGTCATATAAAGACATTTCACCAATATATATATATATATATATATAGAGTAAGACACAGCTGGATGGCAACTGACTTCGACGACTTAGGACCGAATCTTACGCCTTGGAGCTTCACATAGAAAGAAAGAAACACACACCACTCATAGATTTTGCATACACAAGAGACTGAAGACTGAACAGCAGGCCTGGCCTCAACATTATTATTTCTTCCTTCTGGTTCCTATTTTCTCCTTAGCTCTCTGTTTTTTGTTTTTTTAGATCTATTCATTGAACTCATTATTTTTATGTTTAGATCTGTCAAATCATCTATTCGCACCTCGTTGAAGTTTCTCTTATTTAGTTTTCTAATTCGCAGGTCAAATTTGATTCCATTCTGTTTTGCCTTCGGAACTGTGTGAGGACGTATCTGGCTAGAATTGTTTTTTGAGGTTTATTTTTGTTTACGAGATTATATCTAAAAGTTAAAACACATATTGACAACTTAAGTTTTATATGATTAGTCTTTGTTGTAAATTTCATTTTAGCATTTTAATAAAAATAAGTAAATGAAAATTGAGTTCATTAAAAATAAATCAATTACTAATTAAAGTTTAGATTTTCAATATAATTTATACGTGTTGGTAAAAAAAATTATATTTTTTATACGTCATTGAATATATATAATTTCAATCAAAAAATATTCAGATGAATCTACTTCACATCGTAATAGTAGAAAATTAAATCAATATATTTTTGAGATAACAAAACTCTGAAAAAAATGTTAAGTCTAACATAGGTAAATTAAACATAACTTATTTTTTAATAAGCATAATCAGTTAATATTATATATACATTAATGAAAAAATAAATTTATATTCATGCAATAGCTCAATTTTATAATTATATCCTCTGATCTTCATAAGAATGTTCTTATACAATGTAGCAAAAAAAGAAAAAAGTCAACAAATATAACTACAAGTATTATCATTTTTATCGATTAACTGTTAATATTACTTTTAACTAAAAAGATAAATATTTCTTTTTGTTTTTTGCAATAACTTGATAAAATATATATAATTTATATCTTTTTTTCTTTGTTAGCACACACGCGCACATATGACAGTGTAAACGAAAATGATGTGCACATCCAAACACCACCCTTGCAAAACGCGGAAAATTGGAATGAATGATTCAATGTACTGGTAGGCAACATAATGTATTTAATTTTTAAAGTTTTTCTTTGTTTATGGATATCTCATGCTTATTTTATTATATAGTATCAGCAACACTAACATCATTATATTCGCAGTCCAATTACATCTTACATTATATATATATATATATATATATAAAATCTCATAGAAAAAAAAAATTGGTTGAAGGCATAAGATCCAAGCCCAAGGACATTTGTTACGCCGTTCAAAAAATTGTATTATTAAATATTAATCTATACATTTTCACATAATTTTGATTCGATCTTTATAATAAAAAATTCAAATAATTTTATATTCAATCTTTGTTATTATGTTTTGTCCATGTATTGCTACATCTATGAAAAATATTTATCTATACTTATAAAAACCAACAAATCCTCATGAAACTTTATCAACAGGTACCTATTTAAAAAAAATTGTAAATGGTGAATGTACAAACTTAAAACTTTTAAACTCATTCATTTGATTTATCATATATGTAAGCTAGCCATAATTATGTTGTTGTATGTTATAATATTTGTAGCTTGGAAGTTATTTATACTTCTCTTTAAATCATAATGTATGCCTCATTCTGCTGGCGGAGGCTCTTAATTCCTGAACGTTCATCAGACTTGTTCCCAAGAGAGGATGTGAAGTTTCTCGGTCTCATCAGAAGAACTGAAGAAGAAACTACTATGCTTATCAATCTCGTTTAAGACTATTTTGGACAGGAGCTTCGTCCCTAAAAGTTTATTTTATTTTTAAATATAAGAGATGTCATGATATTTTTTAATAATTAAACAATTTTGCTCTTATATTGAAAAAAGGGAAGCTATATTAATTATGTGCTTTATCCATCACCATCACCATATTATTAATTAACATTATTAGGTAAAAATTAGAAAATTATTATAATTTAATGTGATCTGAACTAAAAACAACTTTTATTTAATGTCAATTAAAAATATCTTATATCTAGAACTATAATAGCTAGGCATGGCAGTAACCGTAAACATGCACATGACCTTGAATTTCCTTAAAAACCTTAAACTAAACAATAAAAATATAAAAGGAGTTGCTGGGATGCCCCGTTAAAAAGATTTAAAATAACGTATTAGTGTGAGGTCTGAATGATTGGACAAAAAAGTTCCGAGTCTGGAGATTTTATTAAAATATTTAGTCTTTCCTTGTTCTTTGGTGCCAACATTTTGATATTAAAATGTCATATAAAGACATGTACCAACAAAATATTATATAGAGTAAGACACAGCTGGAGGGCAATTCGGATTGGACTGACTTCGACGACTTGGACTGAATCTTACGCCTTGGATCTGTATATAGAAAAACACACACACCAGCTCATAGATTTTGCATATACCAGAGACTGAAGACTAAACAATTGTCTTCAACATTATTTGTTTCATCCTTTAGGTTCCTATTTCCTACTTTGCTCTCCTTTTTTTCAGACCTATTCCATGAAATCATTATTCTCAAGAAAATTATTTGCAGACAAAGACTAATAATAAGTCACCATTTGAAGAAAAAAACAAGCCTCTGTTATCATTTTAATAACAAATAATTTTATATTAATTTTTATTTGTGAATAATTCTTTTGAGAGGTCTTTGAACATGATTCTTCTAAAACACAATAATTAAATAATGGTGCTAAAAATTACAAATAAAAGGTGTATAAATGTTAAGTTGTATGTTCTTTGAATTTTTAATTGTAATTTACTTGGATAAAAAATCATTTTCTTTTTAAAGTCTCGCATAATGAGTCAAAGTACCCTGGTTAATTTGTTGTGAATTTTTCTAAATTTCTTTTCAATAATTGTAGTTAACTAGAGTACTTCAACCAATTGCAAATTAAACAAATCCTAATTAATGTATAATGAGCAAATAATCAATTTATTAATAAGGTGCATGAGAGCAAAATTAAATATATTGAAAAGTAAAGAGACTTAAGAAACATGTTGCTTTAACTTTGTAGATGACCATTCAAGTAGTGTACAAGATGGCCGGACGCTACTTTGATCGAAATTCTATAATATCTCTTAGAGATCCTCAATTTATTTACTCCTTCCTGATTTTGGAAGTCATTTAAAGAAGTTTTGGCTCACCAATGGTCAGTTTAAGAGAATCATTCAAATGTTTGAATATATGTTGAGATATTGCATTTTAGATTTTGAATAATTTTAAAATAATTTTTTTTTTTCCTAAACTTCCAAATCTGACTTTAGTATTTTCCAGGCTTGCCAAATTATCGGTTTTAATGGAGATATATGACACATGAATTTAAATAAATATAGAAGAAATTGTTTTAAGTTGAACAATAAAAATAGAAGAAGGATGGTGCTACAGATTCACCATTAAAAAGAAATTAAAATAATGCATTAACGATAATGGCAGAGGTTAAAAAAAAAAACGGTAAGAAACAGTGAGACACCGTAAAGCAATGAAAAGCATCGTCACATGGTTCTGTCCCTTTCATTCTGCAAAAGTGAATACTGTTGTCCGTAACACGGTTTGAATGAGAAGGCGTGAAGACTTGAGAGAAGACTTAGGCACTTGGCCTTCAGTTGATCTCGTGACTGCTTGTTGAGACTTGAGATAATTATTATCAGTTCAAGAGCGATCAAATCTTTTCATATTACTTCATCCTTCAGGTTTTTTACTTTCTTCCTTGCTTCGTTTAAGATTTCTTCAGTGAACTGAATGGTTTGGATCTCTGAGACTTCGCTTTTAATTAAACATCCAACGTCAACGAGATTGAATATCTACATAGATTCTGCTTCCGTTTAATTTATGCCTCAAGAGTGGATGAGTCTTGCGGTAAGAGTGAATCATTCAGTTTCCGTCATCTTTTCTTCAGTGAATTAGTTTATCTGCTGATTTGTGTCCTGGGACTTTGTGTGTCTGTTTTGCTTTCAAACTCAACTCGACGGGAAAATTTGCTATGGGATATTTACGAAACTGTGTTCACTTTCTTTCGCCTTCAGCAGTATCCGTTTCTCATTGCTACACTTTGTTGTTGAAGTTCCTATTTTGTTCGTTTGCGTGTTTATATTCTTTCTGATTTTGTATTTTTCACTTTTGTACTTTCGTTCAGACTCTGAATCCTTGCAATGGACTTGATGTTAATGGAGTTGTATGTTCTTCAAGCTCTTATGGATCAACTAAGAGACGGAAATATGATGTGTTTTTGAGTTCTCGAGGTGAAGATACTCGCACAAGCTTTACTGATCATTTATATGATGCTTTAAGGCGCAAAGGAATAAGAACTTTTAGGGATGAAGAAGGACTTGAAAGGGGACAATATATCAACCCAAGTTTACTACAAGCCATTGAAGAATCTTGTTCTGCAATTGCTGTGCTCTCCCCAGGATATGCTTCTTCAACATGGTGCTTGGATGAACTCCAAAAGATTCTTCATTCAAAAAAAGAGTTGGATCTTCAAGTATTTCCAATCTTTTATGGTGTAGATCCGTCTGATGTTAGGAAACAAAAGGGAAGTTTTGAAGAAGCATTCATGAAGCATGAAGAAAGATTTACACAAGACAAAATGAAGGTGCAAAGATGGAGGCGTGTTTTAGAAGAAGTTGCTAGCTTATCTGGTTGGGACTCACGGAATAGGTAATCTACACTTCTCTCAATAACTATCATCACTATTTTTTTTTTTTGGGTGAAAAATAAGGGTGTGGGTATTAAAATAAACTATAATAACCACATCAAGCTTTATTTATTTTCTTTTCTTTTTTCCGTTTTTCGAGAGTTATGTTACTTAAAATATTTCACTAAAATATAGTATAAGATTAATTTTAATGATCGACTTGGACTTGTAGGTCTATGCTTTGGTAAAATAGGTTTGTATTTGTAGTAATTGTATTGATTGTTGCTGCATTAGGTTTCCCAATTGAATTCAATCAAAATGGTTATTTTCTTTCAACGATATTGAATTTTAATAATATTAATAATATCTCTCTATTTTGAAATATCATTATTAATTAATGTAATCTTTACCCTACTTGATCAAGTCTTTCAAATCAATACATCCCTTATTGATGCATCTTTTCGACACCTAGTAGTTTAATTCAAATTTAGTAAAATAGCTATAAGGACAAATAGATTATATGGGGAGGCAATTTTGTAAGCCCCTCTCTTTTTTCCTTCTAGTCTTATTAATTAATAAGAAGAGAGAGAAGAATATTTTGTCTTATTTATAAGCAATGTCATTCATTTTTTATCACAAGTTTTTTATCCATTATTAAATATTGGCAAGGTAAAATATATTATTAAAATATGTATAGGAGTAAGTTTATACCCCAAAAATTAGTTGTAACCGGCATGGGATGCATACACAACCACACATCCCTACTAAGTTAAATTTAGTTTCACGATGAACTTAAAATTTTATAATTCAATTGACTTAAATGATCATTCTATTTTTAGATCAAATAACAAAGATCATGCAATCATTTTATTCTCCTATGCAGGCATGAAACAGAATTCATTGAAAGCATTGCAAAAGAAATGAAGTATAAGTTACATGATGAATCGCCATTTGATCTTGGTGCATTAGTTGGAATTGAATCAAAATTAGATGAGTTGGAGTCACTCATAGCAATTGATTCGGAAGGAGTTCGATCTATAGGAATATGGGGAACAGGAGGCTTAGGCAAAACTACTCTTGCTAGAGCTTTTTATGACTGGAAGTGCAAGGATTTTGAGGTTTGTTGCTTTCTTCATAATATCAGAGAGGAATACGAAAAGGGTGATTTGATTTCATTACAAGAAATCTTCTTTTTTTTTTGAATAATAAAAGAAGTGTGGAAGTGGATGATTGTTATGAAGGAATTAAGCTGATAAAAAACATGTTGGAGGATAGAAAAATTCTACTGGTCCTTGATGATGTGAGTGATATGGGCCAACTTGAATATTTGGCTCGAGAGCAAGGATGGTTTGGCAATGGGAGTAGAATAATATTAACAACAAGAGATATGCGTTTGTTATCATTATATGATATATCTGCTCAGTATAACATCGGATTCTTGAGTGGGGACCAATCCCTTCAACTTTTCCGTCAAAATGCTTTTAAAGGAAAAAATCAACCAAATGAAGGTTACTCGATTCTTTCTAAAAATGTGATATAATATGCTGGAGGACTTCCTTTGGTTCTGAAAGTGTTAGGTTCACTTCTTTGTGGAAGAACTTTAGAGGAATGGGAAGATGCACTTGCCAAGTTTAAGAAGGTTCCTCCAAAAGACATATTGAAGATACTTAATGTGTGTTTTGACAGATTAGATGATAAGGAAAAGACTATATTCTTGGATATTGCTTGCTTTTTTAATGGAATCGACAAAGATCATGTCACACAAATTTTAGAAACTTTTGATGAAGATCTTCACCCAAAACTTGGAATAACAATTCTTATTGAGAAATCACCAGTAATCAATCGTGAAGGGCGTTTGTGGGTGCATCATTTTCTTCAAGATATGGGTAAATATATTGTCCTCCGAGAATCATTTGATAAGCATTCTAGGATAATGTCTTTGAAGGATGCCAATGACGTACTAAAAATAAATAAGGTATCATCCCTTAAGTTCTTGTGATTGTACGTCCAGTCATGCACTCCACTGTTTTAAAAACCAAATCAAACTAGATGGTCAGACTAGTTAGACAATCAATCGGAGATGTTAACAAATAATTCACATGTATAAAATATGATTTGAGACTTTTTTTATAAAGATGTTGACAATTATAAATGAAAATATAAATACTTTTGAGTTTTCTTTTATATAATTTAATTAAGATCCACCTATGTTTGATATGTTATAAAATTATAATTTATATATTGTTAATTTACAATCATATTATGTCATTTTGCTAACATACTATAGTTTAATTTCTTATATATATATATATATATTTAATATTATTTTTATTTAATTATTGCATCACTAGTCCAATTGTTGGTATAATAACCAGTTAGACTATAAAAAAACTGAGAACCGCTGACTTTTTGGATTTAATGTCTGGTATGGCTTTTTAAAACATTGGTCCACTCATCATTTAATATTTCATTCCATGAATTTGGTACATTATTAACTTGACTTATTATTTTATAGGGGGCAGGAGCAATTCGAGGTATAGCTCCATCACTAGAAAAATCATCAGATGCACTTTGGGATCCTGAAGCCTTCTCAAAAATGAGTAATCTCAAGTTACTTATCATTTCAAGTTGCTCATCACATGTTTCTCATTGCCAATTGAATCTTCCTCATGGACTTAAATCTCTTCCCAATGAATTGAGAGTTTCTGAATGGGAGGGGTATCCTTTAGATTCTTTGCCCAGACATACTCAACTTGATAAACTTGTTCATCTAAAAATGCAACATAGCAAGTTAAAACAACTTTGGAAAGGAACACAGGTAATTATGGTCCTTCCATTTTAATTGCTTGTCCATAATGTAGTACACTTATTATTATAACTAGCTTTTAGTTTTGACGACTCACTGTTTTCTTGTTTCTTTTTTTCTTTTCCAGTCTCTAAAAAGGCTGATGTCCATTGATTTATCTCATTCCAAATACCTCACTAAAACCCCAGATTTTGATGGAATTGATAATCTTGAAACATTGATTCTCGAAGGGTGTTCTAACCTTGTTGAAATTCACCAGTCCCTTGGGCAACACAAGAATCTTGTCATTGTTAATTTGAAAGGCTGCATAAAAGTTAAAATCCTTCCAAGAAAATTTGAGATGGATCGCTTACAAACTTTTGTTCTATCTGTTTGTTCAAAAATTAGAAAACTTCCTGAGTTTGGAAAGGATATGAAATGTCTCTCTAAGCTTGATTTAGAGGACACTGCTATATCCAAATACCTGAATCACTGGGCAATTTGATTGGTCTTGCTGAATTAGATTTGTCAGGCTGCAAAAATCTGGTTTGCCTTCCAAATAATGATTGTAAATTGATAGCTAGGAAGATTATCACAATTTCTGGTTGGTCAAAACTTTCAAGGATGCCAGAGGATTTGAATGAAAATGGGGCTTTGGAAGTGCTCGAAGTGGGTCGTCGAATTTCTAATGAGGCACAATCAATTTGTGAGTACAATGGTCAAGCACATTCTTCATCATCATCGAGTTGCTTCTCCCTTCTCAGGAAGGCATTTGGGCTTCAAAGGCCTTCAAGCTCAATAAATCTTTTCTTGTCCCTTTCTTTTTCATCCTTGACCGAATTAAATTTAGAGCATTGCAATCTCTATGATGGATCACTTCCTGATGACATTAGCAGCTTTACATCATTGGCAACATTAAATTTAAGTGGAAACAATTTCATTGACTTACCATCTGGCCTCATTTCCAATATTTCGAAGCTTCAATTTATTGGTCTCTTTGATTGCCCAATGCTTAAGTCCTTGCCACAACTTCCGTCAAATCTATCAGTTATTCTCGCAAGTGGTAGTCCATCAATGGAACATTACATTTGTTCGCAGAAACTATGGGAGTTCATTGATTCATTCCAATCTCAGGTTTGTTTTATTTGTCTTTACTTGTTCTTTCACATTATTAATCATTAAACTTCTTTAACATAGCCAATTTTTTCCCCTTATAGGTTCATAATATCAATGATGTCTCAATATTAGATGATTCTGAAGGACGTGTGTTCTTTTCAAGTAAGGTGTTTGGAATTGTTACATGGGATTCACAAATTGGGAGTTTTTTTTTTTTTTTAATTACATGAGTTTCTTTTTTTTTTTTTTGGGACATAATATATATATATATATATATATTTGATCTCTATATATTTTCCACTTCTTACACATTAATTATTATTCTAAGACTTACGATTTGTTTTGTCATAGCCTGACTTCTTCATGCAACCCGGTCGCCAATTAATCATTCCTGGTAGTGAAGTGCCATCATGGTTTCGTAATCAAGACTACTTTTGTGAGAAAGAATTCAATGATCCAAATGTGTCATTCATAGTAAGCATACCTGATTATTGTCGAAGAAGAAGTGAATGGTGGGGCATAGCCATATGCTTAGTGATAGAAAACGATTTGGCATATGACGAAGAGAGTGACGTTGCTTGGTGGACATTCAGATTTCCTAATGATGAATTTCCAAATACGTATGGTTTCTCTTTCATTTGGTTACAATCAAATTGCAGTCATCAAGTCTGTTTTATATATATTCGTTGTTCCTCTTTAGTTGTAAACAAACTTCAAATGGTATTTTTTACTGGATGTAATACATTTGGAAATGATGAGTTACCGAAGTCTAAAGTAACGAAGTGTGGATGGCGTGTGGTGTGTAAAGAAGATGTTGAAACATGGAATGAGTGTTTGTACTAGCATCAGTGATGGAATCATAGTTAGCCCAAAACGCCAAGCCACCTAACAAAGTGCATAAAACAAGAACAAGTGCTTCAAGGTACGTATGACACACATTTTTATTTTAATTGAAAGTTTATATTTTATATTATTCCTTGTTTTCATGTCTTACAAAGTTTTTCTTATTTTTCGTGTGTTGTTTAATTTTGGTGATACTTGTATGACATAATTTAATTTCAATAGTCTGTCAAATGCCAAATTTGATCTTATGTACAATCACATGTTTAAAGGAGATGTAGGATTTGTAAAGGACATTTAAAAAAAAAGTCAAAATTTACGTTTTATTTATTTATTTATTTTATTTTTTTTTGTAAAATGTCTCATATTAAGAAATATGTAAATTTTATAGATAATATAGGAGTATCATTTTACTATAAACATTAAGTTAGTACTGTTTAAAACAAGAAAGTGTGGTTGTTGTGCAGAGATGTCAAAAGATACCAAAAAACTAGAGATAAAGTTGAGATTCATTGTAACAACTTAATCCCAATGAAGTTGAGAATAAAGAAGGCCGTAGCTGTTGGGAGTGGATTTCAAACTTCTGGCATTCCATTGAGCATCTCTTTCAGACTTGGTGCTAAGGTACATTAATTTCTAGTCTCTGTTTCAAGGTACATGTTTTGTTTGTTTTCAGTATAGTTGCTTAAATATCTGATGTTTAGTGAATCATTTTACAAAACCATACGAAGTAGACTTCCAGAAGATGATGCAGAGACAGTATTTCGTTGGTATAAGTATTTCTTAAAAGTGTTTGGATTGAATATCGTTCTTTTCATTGCTCATACTATTTTGCATATTTTCTTACCAATAAATTTTTTATTATTAGGCTTGTTTTAGGTATAAAAGAACCTTGAGGAATATACACCCACACACACACAACTGCTATACATACCTCTCCATACAGAAGTTGATACTATAGTTGATTAATTTCTGCATAATTTTTTATTTTGGTAAAATTTGATATTTCTTAAACCTCTTCCTTTATAGGTTGTGTGCACGAGTTAAATCTGCTGATGTATACATAACTTTGTTAATTCTATTGCTAACTTGGTAAAATTTCAATAAGTTAGACATTATATGAGTAAAATGGCCAGTAACCTTTCTGCTTATTTGCCCTACATATCTTGTCTTCTTCCTTTTGAAGCATCATCTATTACATATTTAAGGACTTTTTATTTAATGTCTTGCTTCTTCTTCTTCTTCTTCTTCTTTTTTTTTTTTTTTTTTTTTTGTCTTCTACTCATTTTTTATACAACTCATCATAAGTTTAACAAGCCAACACAAAAATAAGTGGAGTTCATGTACATGCCAGCCACCATTAAGTCCTTATAATCATATTTAAAATATATATAACTACTAACGTTCTAGACAAATGAAGCTAGAGAGATTTAAAACAATGAAAAAAAAGAGTAAAGGGACCAACATCAAAACATGCTAAAGATAAAGCAGCCAATAATTATATTTTTTTTTTAAAATGTATACACTCATGCACACAGCCATAATTGCTATACGTACCTCTTTACACAAGTTGATACTCTATATACAGTTAACTAATTTCTGCATAATTTTTTTTGGTAAAAATTGATATTTTTTTAACTTCTTTCAAAGGTTGTGTACATGCGGGAACTGGGAATTGTCCAAGACATTCAAGAAGCAAGAGCTAGATACAGGCTAGAGCTTATCTAGTTCCCTCTACTATCCCATCCTGAAATTGATATGAGAGTAGCTAATAAACTCGTTCACTTGCATAATTAAGAACCTTTTGTATGAATTTGAGCTTGTCTCTTACTTCTTTTTTTTTGTCCCCTTAGCGATTTATAAGGTATACGCTTAGTCAGTTCTTTGCTTCAAGCCTTGTTGTTTGGCCGTCATAACCAATGAAATTGATTTGATGTTCTATTGAATATGAAAAAGGAGTTGTGAAATTAGATTTTGAATTGTATTGTGCGGGCCTTAGGTACTTACATTGTGCGGGCCTTTGGTGCTAAGGTATATAAATTTGAGGTACATGTTCTGTTTGTTTTACTTAAACATAAGGTTTCAAAACAAGAAAAAAAATTTCTAATATATGCATACCAGGTGAAGGAGAGAATTTATATTTTGAAAACAGACAAAAGAACTTTGTAATCTGAACATCACTTCATGGGAGGGGAAGAGTAACTTACGTAAAAGATAAAACGTATATAAAACAAATTTAAAACTTCTACAAAGAAAACATATTTTATAAATAGTTTTCCAAGGATTGGGAAATTAAATGTCATACCCCAAAATATAAGGTACTGGCATGGATAAAATACGAAACTCATATCTCACAAGTGTTAACTCAAGAAACTTTAAATTTTAAACTATAAACACAGTTAATATAGAAATATGATTATTAGTTAATTTTTTACAATACTTTTCATTCAAACAAAAGTTGTTATTTCCTATAGAAATTTCAGTGGATAAATCTCTCCTAAAAATGAGACTTCTCCAGATTTCCTAACAACAAAGAACATTTGAAATAGAGGGGCTCCACTCCTTACCAATAATTATAGAATCTTATAAGGAAGACAAGGATTTTCCCTATAGCCTTCATGGAGCATTTAGGACTAGGCCAAGAAATTTATAGAAGATGAAATTTACATCAAATGAAATTTGCCTGAAATAATTCTTCCACTCCAATTTAGTGATAGATAAAACAACTCAATGAACACCTCGAGACATAGATTCAGCTACATCATCTAACACCAGAAATCTTTCTAATAAATAATGTCCTGATAATAAAATTTGAATGAATACATATGAACAATCATAATGGATTCCTATGCACAAACAAAAAGAGAATAGTTCAATATAACACAGTCACTTAAAATATTTCATATAACATAAATTCAAGAGCAGCTAGTTTAAAATAAATGAAGTTCTTTAAGACTCGCTTTCAAAAAATTGAATAGATCTATAAATAGAAAATGTATTAACATTTATAAATTAAAACCACTAGAGAAAATCCATATATAAGACAATTAAAATTTATTTTTTTAAGACTTAACAGAATAAATAACAAAAGTGGATCGAACGTGACTTATGCCATAAAAACAAACGTAGATACACAATCCACAAAGATAAGTAACTAAATGCAACCTAAGTTAAGAAACAAATGTGCACTATGTCCACAAGAGTAATAATAATCAAACATAACTCAAAGCCACAAAATCAAACACTAGATGAGACCCATGTATAACAAACGTGAGGATAGAGCTCACAAAAGTCAAACTAACTAATCATTAATCATAGCACAACAAACTAATGAAACTGCTATTAGCAATCAATAATCTACTTATAATCCTCTCAAAATCACATTTCAAACATGTAAGAAAATAATCACTGATTAAAATCTAATTTTCTCTTCTTAATAACAAACTCACATAAATTATTTAAAACATCAATTCTTTTGAATATAAAAGTTCACAATTAATGTTTCAAAAACTTCTTCACCAATTTTCATGATTGTTTTTATCAAATAAAAGAATTGATTTTTTTTTCAACTAGTGTTGATTTATTCTTTTTAAATTACATTACTTTAGCTCTTGAAGTCATGACATATACTTATAAGATTGATCAAGATGTTATCCACTTACTTGAAACATTTCCAAAAACATAACTTACTCCTAATTAGCCACTTTGTAATATTGTCTATGTCTTAATTCCCTAATGCCCAAAGGGACATTATTATTATTTCTTTTTATACATTTATAACTCTAAAATCTTCAATCCAAACAAATTTATAGAATTGGAAAAGAGAATCTACCTCAACCTCTCACAAATAAGAGTTAATCAATAAATCTTCAACAAACACTTACATAAATAATATTCAAAGTTTCCAACTCTTTCTCTAGAAAGTAGACAACTTCTACCATAACTTATTCAACATTATCAATCATTTGTATTCATTCATAATCTGCCATGCACAAACATTTTTTTTTTTATATGCAACCAAGAGCTAACATAAGAATAAACAAACTTGGTCCCTAAATTATTAAACAAATATCCTCTTTTCCCCCAAAATGTTCTAACTTCATGCCCAACATTTCATTTTAAAGAATAATTGCTTGCTATAATAATTTACCCAACAAGAATACATCTATCATATTTATATGCCACCTTAAACTAAAATTCTTCTTTCATACATTCCTTCAAGCACCTTACGTGCTTCCAAAATCAAACTATACAATCAGCCGTCTTACTTTTAAATATCTTTCCCAAAAATTTCTCCAAACATCTATGTAGATTTTCTATGATTTTCAAATTCATTTCTTTATCAAGAATAAATTAAAATCTATTAAAACTGAACCTGAATCCATAATATTAGTCTTTATACTTAATTATTCCATTCCAACTCTTCTACACATTTTTGCAAACATCTCATGTGCGTTAGCATTCAAACTACATCATCAAGCTTCTTGTTCCTCAAAGCTAGCTAAAAGAAACTCTAAATTTCTCTTCTATTCAACGTCCAGCAGCAAGAAGAGAAATTCCAGTTCATCACATACAAGCACATAGTAGGCAGGAAGGAAAATAATCAAGGACTGAACTTTCAGCCCAAATCACAATGCACATACTTATTCGAAAATAGGGAGAGAAGAGAGGGGATCAATACTCACAACGAAGTAAAGGAGAAATGGAAAGAAGGAATCGAAGTTCCCTCATTCACACCAAAACAGTATGATGTCGGACAGAGAAGAAGGAGCCCGGTAGTGCAGACAAGGGAGGAGGAAGGAGAATTCGACAGCTCCAACACCCCCACGCCTTGATCTGTAGCAGCGACAGCCACTAAAATCGCTCACTTGCCGGCAATAGGGAAGAGGAATGATGAGTGGAGATGAAGAGTGGAGGAAAAGAATTCCTGAAGTGCTCTCTCCAGCTCTCCCTCTCTGATCGTAGACGCAGAAAATAGAAAAATTGGGGGAGAGATGAAAAAATCTGATATGACGTGCTTTTTCCCCCAACAGGAGCAATTTGGTATCAAACATACTTCAGGACTATTACAATATCTGACTAAATTATCAATTACAATATATTATAATTGAAATAACTTACCAATTATAATGCAATACAATAATAAAGTAACAATATTAAAATTAATATATAAATCTAATATAATTGATAATATAATTAAAAATAAAAAATAAATAAATTGATTAAAAATCAAATGATGAAACTGATATATTTGTAATATATTATAATATGTGTGTGTAAATAAGCCAACTTGTTGGACTCGTATATTAAGTCTTTAAAACATAGGCCTTACCTATTTAACTAAATAAGCTTAATTAAAGGCTTGAACCTAGCCTAAACTTATTTAGTAAATAAGTTAGGTTAGGCTTAAAGTAAGTTAGGCTCCCGCTCTGGTTCATCAAACCACTAACACATCCTGTTACATTTATTCTAAATTTTATAAATATGTTATTATTTATTTTAATATTATTATTATTATTTTCAAGGTCATCAAACACACAGATAAATGCCTTTTAACATTATTTAACATTATTTAACAACAATTAAATCTTCTATATTAAATTTTCTGACTTTGCACCAATTTCTCTTTTGCTGCTAAAATAAATTATTTATCACATTAAAAAAATTCCTAGATTTCCCTATCATTACATTAAATTTCCCACATATCGGACTGTATCTAATTATCTACCCTATTCACTCATTAAGGAAACCACCACAACCATTCAGATATTTAATCAATTAATCTAAATACAAAATTGGGTTCTTAAAAGATCTCTCCCCTAATGCTTTAGTCCATGGACTTATTTCTGTAAGCAAGTTGGTCCCTCAAATTTTGAAACTCATTACACGTCAATTTGTCTTTCAGTGGGACAATATAATTTAGGGACCAAATTGTAAATTGATTCCATCTCTTACATCCAGAAATTGGACCAATATATATCATTTAAGATGAATTGCATGAGGAAAAAAATACCTTTAACTTTTTTTTTTTTTTCACTGGCACCAGGTTGATACAAAGTACGTTCCCTGGGCAGCCATAGGATCTGAGGTTGTCGGATTCATAACCTTTGCTAAAGCTCCAAGGGGCTTTTTTTGTCTTTTTCCTAAGATGCAACAACAACATTAAAGGCGGTAATTCTACTTAGATTAGGGCTTTGAATCTTCAACCAGTTAGTGATTTGTTGATACCCATGATCCACTATAAGCAATTACTTTTCCAGTAATAAATATTACATTGAAGATCAAAGAACAAAAAATATCAGATGATGGGAAGCCAAAATTGAGAAGAAAAAAGGGGTAAGAGATCCGATAGAAGAGATGAAAAGAAAACAGCAATTTACCAAAACCGGATGGTGAAATCAGCTGCCAATAAATTCTCCTCTTGCATCCCAAGGGCGATTTTCGCAAGACTTTCCTACAATGCTGTGTATTTTATTTACAGTGCCATCCTTGCTGCGGAATTCTGGGAAGTAATCAAGGAACATTTTGCTTCCAAGTTCGTCAGCTCCATTGAATAGAAAGTTTCTCAGCAAATCCTATAGGAAAAAAGACGTGAAGTTTGAAACTGCACTTCAAGTTTCTTGAGGAAAAGTACTGATCTCATATTACGGATACCTTTGCAAGTGTGTCCCCAATCAGCTTCTTTAAAAGCCCTTGACCTGGATCCTACTTTCCAAAAGTTTCCATGAGCGAAGCTCATAAGTGATATGTTTCAAATATAATAACATAAACTTAGTCTAAGTCATTGCTAAATGGTGCTGAAGAGTCCCGAGTAAACAAAAATTCATCTCCAAAAGTTTAGTATCAATAGAATCCTGATTTAAATTCTGAAAAATAGTTTTCCTATGCTCTAGCATGAGTTATCCAAATCCTCTAAGCGATTGATAAGAACATCATATTCAAAACATGACCAACACGCTTGATAATAATATCAGTCTAAACTGATGACGTTGAAGAAATGCAAGATCTACAGTGAATCTTCTAGGCTTAATTAAAATGTCCTTGGAGACCATTATTTGTCATCCTCGTAAATCACTCTCTCCTTTTGCTTAGGCCTTCAGTTCAAAAACAATTTGTTGACAATATTAACAATTAGAAAATGCAGCACTGAAATAATGGTTTGGTTAATTCACGCAGCATATGAATAATGGAATATCGTCAGATTAATAATCAACTATAGGTTGTGGGAAGACTAGAAATGCTAGAGAACTCTGTATCCACAGACTTCAAGGGAAGATGCTAATTTAGAATTTCGTTTAATTCTATCGCAAGCATAGAGGTTAATACGGTCAAATGACCAATCATATGACTGTATGAGTAGCAACGTATCCCAATACCTTTTCTGCTCTCCAGGTTAGATATCTATGTTGTGCTTCACGATTGCAGGAAATCTGAGATGCATCTGTCTCCTCAACTGCTTTGCCTGTTAATTCCAGCCATGCCTGCAGATTAAGGGTCATATAGAAAAATTTAATAGTTTAGTGGGTAATACATTGAGAAAGCTACTGAAATTTTGATCTTTAAAGTATCGCAAAATTGAGATATAGTATAGCGGAAATCGATCATGGTGTTAATACCTTGTAGTAATCCTGGAATGCAGAATACAGAATATCATAGTTTTCTGGACTTGAAGAAAACTTTGTCCATATGACAATGGGTGAAAAAAATTGTAGGGACTCGCTTGTGAGCTTCCCTCCCCATGGTAAAAGCTGCATGAAATTTGTGTTCTGTTAAGAAACCTAGATCATTATAGAAAGAAGTCAAAGAAGTGTTAAGTTAAACAGATTCAAAGATGAACTTGAGAAACATGCCAAACTAATATATTTGTAGTTACCTCGGAATATTTGAGGCCAAGGGGAATTAAGCGTTTAAAGTACTTTTCCTTGTAATCCTGCTGATTGATAATATCATGCAGTGGGTTAAGGTCCCTGTAATTTTAATGCTATGCTCCAGAGTTAGCGCTCCACATAAAACACTGTAATTTCTTTATAATGTTTGAACTTAGAAGGAAAAGAGGAGAACTCTTGTAATATTGCCAATGCCATCAGAGCATGAAAAATAAAGGGGAAGCACAGTGTTAAATGCTCATTGTCAACCATAAAAAGGAGGGAATCCAGCAAGATGTCAGGTTATTCTTCATTAACTTAGTAGATGCAACACTTCCAAAATTTAGATTTATGATTTAACAGTTACATTGTTTTGACCAAGTTTTGATGATGTAAATCACATGTATAGATGCAAACGGAATTGAGGGGAAAGCATTGCACCAAAATGAAAGTACAACAAATGAAGTCATATTGCACAAATTAGGCACTCGTGTTTTGTAATTGCTGAGACAACAAGGGCTTTTATTTGTCACTATAGTTATAAAGTTCCCTCTGAACTTGAATACTTCGAAGTTAACACATTCAATTTGGAAAACGTATTAACAACTTCATACACTATTTTAAAGTGTTCATACACAGTATAAAGAAGTTCATTAGTAAAAAGTATAATGCTAGATCAAGCAAATTATTAGAAAACTAAAAGTCCACATGAAGTCACATTCTTGTGATTTGCCACTCATAATTATAGTGCTCCAATTTCTTTGGGGTGGGAAAAAAAAAATAGGTAAAGTCAAATAGTCATCTTCACAAAATACATACCAAGACTGACTAGTATGACGGTGAATTCTCTAAATATGGTAGAAAAAGAATAGAAACAAGCAAGGGATTTTTCATAATCTTTTGATTATACAGAATTACATAATCTAAGTCAATCTATGCAAACTCTAACTGATAAAAACAGTCAAAGAAGCATTGCTAGTTGGATTGTGATGGTTGCATGTAGGAGTTCTGATTATTAGGACAAAACTTCTTCACTCTCTTTAAGACCCTGTACTTATAGTTACAAGAAAACAATAGAAGAACTACGATTTCTAATTACATTAACAAAAGTCACATAATATACTAACATGTGGTCAGACCGTGTAATTATTAGATATTATGTGAATATATTCTCTATTAATATTCATTATCCTAGGAGATTAGGTAGGATCTGTCTTTATTTAGATATTACTTTATTTAGCTGCTGACCGATACTGGTCCCTTATTCTTCGGAGAGATTAGTGCTCCTATTCCTGTATATATATGAACTCGGCCTCCTTTGATCTATATACGAGAGAAAGCAGATTGCTCATTCACTACATGGTATCAGAGCCAGCTGCTTCTCCACACGCTTCCGACACCGAGCACGAGTCAGAAAGCATCGCAGACGAGTTGTACCCCAGTCGCCCGTCTTCACCGATGACGCAGAGTGATGGGTCCTCGCTGTATGATTCGAACAAGGTTGGTGGTCCCTCTGGGTTGACTACTAACCACGATGGATCTTCGATGCAAATCGTGACTATGAAGCTAAAGGGCGACAATTACCGCACATGGGCACAGGCCGTGAAACTTGCTGTTGAAGGCAGAGGTAAGATGGGTCTTCTGGATGGCTCGTCCAGAATCCCAGATGAAACCAAACCCGATGAAAGGCAACGGTGGTGTACCAACGATTCTCTGGTCTCGTCATGGCTCATTAACACGATGACACCGGAAGTTCAACAGAGCTTCATGTTCTTACCTTCAGCGCATGAGATGTGGGTGGTTGTGCGAGACTCTTATTCAGATGGAAAAGACTTGGCACGACCGTACGAACTCAAAACTAAGACGTGGACTATTTAACAAGGTGAACGAGATGTTACGGCATTCTGGTTGGAGCTTACTGCATTATGGCAAGAACTCGACTTAATGACTGAGGTGGAGTGGTCAAATGCTACTGATGTGGCTCGTTATAAGGAGCAAATCGAGAATGAACGTGTCTTTCAATTCTTGGCTGGGTTACATCAATCTCTAGATGACGTACGTGGACGTATTCTCAGCAAATCACCACTGCCTTCACCGAGAGAAGTTTTCTCTGAAGTACGCCAAGAAGCTTCATGACGTAAGGTGATGCTCCCTGGTACGGTTCCCAATTCTTCACCATCTCTGGACTCTGCTGCACTTGTTAGCAAAGGAGCAGATCATAGAAGCCAAAAAGGGAAGACTTGGTGGGAACATTGTAAGAAACAAGGGCATACTCGTGAGACCTGTTGGGAATTGCATGGGAAGCCAGCAGATTGGAAGCCTAGAAGGGGAAAGACACGGGGATATCAGACTTCTCATGACACTTCACAAGAGAAGACCGACTCAAATTCATTACCTTTGATAAACAAAGAACAGTTGGGTAAGTTGATTGAAATGCTTGATGTGATTCAAAAAGCTGAGCAGAATCAGAAGCAAGGTCACACGGCATCAATAGCGCACAAAGGTAACTGTACTCTACTTACTGCTGCTAGTAATTTCAAGTGGATTGTTGATACTGGAGCCACAGATCATATGACATCAGATTCTAAGTTATTTAGTTCCTATACACCTTGTGCTGGGCATGAAACTGTCAGTACTGCTAATGGGTCTGCCTTATCTATAGCGGGTAAAGGGAATGTTATTATTTTTGATGTTATGAAGTTAGAAGACGTACTTCATGTACCTTACCTAGCATGCAACCTGTTGTCTATTAGTAAATTGACAAAACAAGCTCAGTGTTGGGCTCATTTCTGTGCTACCCATTGTATTTTTCAGGACCTCTTATAGGGGAAGATGATTGGCAGTGCTAAAGAGCATAATGGTCTCTACTATCTCGATGAATCAACCGTGAGTAATCTTTGGTCTAGAATCCGGTGCAATATTGCCTCTACCTCTAAGAATAAGGACTTTAATGATCTTATGTTATGGCATAGGAGAATGGGTCATCCAAATTTTCAATATTTATGTCATTTATTTCCTGAATTCCATAAGTTGTCTTCCTTTCAGTGTACTGATTGTGAACTTGCTAAACATCAAAGATCTAGTTACAAATCTTCTGAATATAAATCTTCTCGTCCTTTTTCTATTATTCATAGTGATGTGTGGGGCCCTACTCGTGTTGCTAATCGTACTTATACCAAGTGGTTTGTTACCTTCATTGATGACCACACTAGATTATGTTGGGTTTACTTATTACGTGATAAATCTAGTGTTCCCACTATTTTCTCTGAATTTTATACCATGATTAAAACCCAATTTGACACCACTATCCAGGTACTTCATACAGATAATGGAACTGAATATTGTGATAAGCCAATGAATATTTTCTTAACAAACCATGGCATTATTCATAAGAGTACATGTCCCAACACCCCACAACAAAATGGTATTGCTGAACGCAAGAACAGACACATTTGGAAGTTGCTCGTGCCATCATGTTTACCTATAATGTCCCTAAATATTTCTGGGGTGATGCGATACTCACTACAACTTACTTGATAAATCGCATGCCCAGCCGTGTCTTGTCTCATGTTACCCCACTTGATAAGTTAAAAGAATCTCACTCTATCACTCATCTTGAAACTCATCTTTCCCTTAAAATCTTTGGCTGTACAGCATTTGTCCATTCTCATCATTCCCACAAATTGGATCCTAAAGCGGTCAGATGTATTTTCCTTGGTTATTCCTCCACTCAAAAAGGGTATAAATGTTTTGATCCCTCCTCCAAGAAATTATATATCAGCCGAGATGTCACGTTCTTTGAATCTGTCCCTTTTTTCCCAAATTCTTCAATTCAGGGGGAGAAGGGGAGTGAATTTCAGGATTTGGGAAGACAGGAAAACCAGGAAAATATTTTTTCAGAACTGTCTGTCTCGCCAGAATCTATTCCTGACCAGCTAGAACAGCCTCAAAACGGTTCTGAACCACTTGCTTCAAACATACCTGCACCTGAAATTCGGACTTATAGGCCAGAAACTGAAGTGAAAAGTCCTTTAAAGGAAAACAGTAATGCAGGTACAGCACCGGAAAAAGAACTCATAACTTACTCAAGAAAGAAGAGGCGAGATGTAGAGTCTGCCATGCCAATAGCACTACCAATTTCAGAACTGAAAGAGGTCCCTGAAGGTGAGATTATGGAGAATAACGAACCAGAAGTGAAAGGTATTGCTGAAGAAAAGGAGATAGATGATCTAGATCTACCTATTGCTCTTAGGAGGCAACCGAGATCGTGTACTCAGCACCCTATTAGAAGTTTTGTAAGTTACCATGCTCTATCTCCTCAATTTCGTGTGTTTGTGACTAATCTTGATACAATGAAGATTCCTCGTGATGTATATGAAGATTTGAGCATACCAGAATGGAGAGCTGCTGTTATGGAGGAAATGAAAGCTTTGGAAAAGAATGAAACGTGGGATATAGTGGAGTTGCCTAAGGGAAAAAGAGTAGTAGGGTGCAAATGGGTTTTTACTCCAAAATATGATTCCACAGGAGCCTTAGATAGGCTAAAAGCTAGACTGGTGGCACGAGGCATTACACAAACATATGGCTTAGACTATAAGGAGACATTTGCTCCTGTAGCTAAGCTAAATACCATCAGAATTCTACTCTCTGTGGCGGTAAATCTTGAATGGCCATTACATCAACTAGACATAAAAAATGCTTTCCTGAACGGAGATCTCAAGGAAGAAGTCTATATGAGCTTACCTCCAGGTTTCGGCACTGGGCACACAAATCAAGTATGTAAACTAAAGAAATCACTCTATGGCCTAAAACAATCCCCACGTGCGTGGTTTGATAGATTTTCAGAAGTATTGAAAGCTGAAGGGTACAAGCAAGGTCTCTCAGATCACACCATGTTTGTGAGAATGAAAAACGGTAAGAGGTGTATTCTCATAGTATATGTGGACGATATAATCATTACAGGGGATTATGAAGAAGAGATTGGGAGAGTAAAAATGCTTTAAGTAAAGAGTTTGAAGTAAAAGACCTGGGCAACTTAAAATATTTTTTGGGAATGGAAGTTGCAAGGTCAAAACAGGGGCTCTATGTGTCTCAAAGGAAATATATCCTCAATCTACTAAAGGAAGCAGGTATGCTTGGGTGCAGACCTGTAGATACGCCAATTGTAGTGAAGAAGGTAAAAAAGAAGTCCAAGGAGGAAAAAGAAAGTGAAGAATCAAATGAGGAACTTGAGGAAGAATTAGAAGAGAATGAAGAGGAGGATGAACCTGCAGACAAGGAGAGATATCAAAGGTTGGTGGGAAAATTGATCTATCTTTCCCATACTAGACCGGATATAGCTTTTGCTGTGAGTGTTGCTAGCCAGTACATGTGTGATCCAAGGAAGAGCCACATGGATGCTGCATACAGAATTCTAAGGTATCTAAAGGGTACACCTGGAAAAGGTTTATTTTTCAAAAAACAAGAGCAAAGATTAATAGAAGTTTACTCGGATGCAGATTGGGGAGGAACCTATAAGGACAAAAGATCAACTTCAGGTTATTGCTCATTTGTGTGGGGAAATCTTGTTACCTGGAAAAGCCAGAAGCAAAGGGTAGTTTCTAAAAGCAGTGCTGAGTCTGAACTAAGATCTCTCTCCCAAGGCATCTCAGAAGGATTGTGGATAAGACGCGTAATGGAGGAGATACATGTCAAGGTTGATCCACCATCAAAACTTTATTGTGACAACAAGGCCGCAATAAGTATGGCTTTAAATCCTGTTCAGCATGAAAGTTCCAAGCACGTGGAGATAGACAGGCATTTCATAAGGGAAAAGGTGGAAGAAGGTATAGTATGTCTTATATACCTCCCTACAGAGCTACAGGCTGCAGATGTATTGACCAAAGGCCTACATGGACCAGCATTTGATAGTTGTATACGCAAGTTGGACATGACTGACATCTATGCTCCAACTTGAGGGGGAGTGTGGTCAGACCGTGTAATTATTAGATATTATGTGAATATATTCTCTATTAATATTCATTATCCTAGGAGATTAGGTAGGATCTGTCTTTATTTAGATATTACTTTATTTAGCTGCTGACCGATACTGGTCCCTTATTCTTCGGAGAGATTAGTGCTCCTATTCCTGTATATATATGTACTCGGCCTCCTTTGATCTATATACGAGAGAAAGCAGATTGCTCATTCACTACATAACAGGAATGGGAAAGAAACATGAACTTGAAGGGAAAACAAAAATAAAAGGAGGGTTTTGATAATCCAATCGAAAAAGAAAAAAGTCAACATGAAATAGGGGAGCCACTTTAAGCCTTCTTAATACCTATCAAGTGTTGAACCACATCAAAATAAACTTCTCCAAAAATAAAAAATCCATTCAGATATTTTCAAATATAAACTGATAAAAAAGAGGTTTGAACCTTCTCCAAAGAATAATGGCACTTTCTTTCACAAAAGTCGGCTGGTAATAATTAATGCCTTGTAAATATGATATTGTTTTCGCTCAGTTCACTCAGGGCTACTAATAACACTAATTCTTTTACTTAATTAATGAGACTGACATTTTGGTCTGGTAGAATATAGGCAGAATGACAGTTAGGCTCCAAAACATCAATTTATTGACTATAGGATCACAAAACATTATAAAGGAGAATGACTTGCAAATATGAGTCTTAAATGCTGAGAGTGACTTGAAGGACTTAAATGCCCTTGCTCTCAGTGATTTTGATAGAGCAGAAGATTCAAGGAAGATTTACAAATCATTTCCTAGGGCATATAGCAGAATATATGAGAAGGGAAATGGTGTAAGAAAGAGCAACTCCAGTGGATAAGAGAATCATCCTAAGATTCCTGGCTGTAAGGGAAAAGAAGTGGTATGCAAGTAGATTTTAGATGCAATTCGAGTGTAGGCAGTGCTGTTGTAACATTTTAGTCTTTAAATTCTCCAAATCTGCTAGAGAGGGGAGTTCAAACTTTTAAAAGTATAGTGAGGATTGAGAGAGATCTGGCCTTTTGAAAGCCAGAAGCATTGCCTTGTGTGTGTATTTTGTTCTGTTGTATTTTTGTCACTGTTATGTGGTTGCAATCTTTGTATCAAGGTGTATGAGGGATATGGGATTGGCTTTAATCATTATTACCCCTGTAATCTAATTTAGTTATTCAGTAAAAGCATTATCCATCACAAGTTATTTCCATCATCTTCTTGTCTATTTTTGTGTTTTTATTTATTATTTTCTCCTTAGAGTTGAGGGCTCTACCATTTGGTATGAGAGTAGTACAATCTTGGGACGAGATGGCGATCACTCTAGAAGAACATAAGATATTGAGAATGAATGAGGATAACATGATAGACACCATAAAAGTTTGGAAAGAAAGTAGAAAAATGGAGGAAGAGTTAAGAAAAACCAAAGAGGAGTTTGAAGTTGAAGCTGAGGCACAAGTTGAGGAGAAAAAATGTTGGAGCAAATGAGGATACGAAAGAAGAGGGTGCTGGATTGAAGGAAAAAATAGAAGATGAGATAGCTGAAGAAGAAAGAGATGAGAAGAAGAACAAAGATGACAAAGGAAACCAACCCTAGAAGGAGAGAAAGGAAGAAGGGATACCTTAGTTGAAGCTTGTATCATTGCCATGGTCCTCGGAATATAGTGAAAAGGTAGGGGAAGAATTGAAGAGGGAGTTCACCCAACCTATAGCCAAGAATCATTGGCTTAAGTAGGACCATAGAAGGGAGCTTGAGGAGCATGATGCTAGACAGAGCACCGTGGTGCAGCCAGAGAGCAAAAATCAAGTGTGTATTCTTTGATGGTGAGTAGACCGAAGAGGAGAAGCAGTTTGGGTGGTGGATTGAGTCAAACAAATTAGTTGGGGAAGAAGCCCTAAATTCGATGGGAAAATGCTATTTACCATGTAAGTAAGGCCCAAATGCTTGCCCAACTCAAGCAACCCACTTTATTACTAGCAAAGCAATCAGCTGAGACGTTGGACGCCATTTTATCTCTAGAGCCCTCAACTCTAAGGAGAAAATAACAAATGAAAACCAAAAAATAGACAGCGAGATAATGGAAATAACTTGTGGTGGGTAATAATTTTATTGAATAACTAAATCAGATTACAAAAGAAATAATGATTCAAGCCAATCCCATATCCATCATACACAATTGATACAAAGGCCGCAAACACAAAACATATAGAAATACAAGAACAAAACAAAATACACACACAGCAATGCTTTTGGCTCTCAATCCTCCCTATACTTCTAGAAGACTAAACTCCCCACTCTCTAGCAAAATTGAAAAATTTGAAGACCAAAGAGCTACAACAACACTGCCTATACTCTAATTGCACCTAAAATCCACTCACAAGCCACTTCTTTTCCCTTACAGCTAGGAATCTTAGGATAATTCCCTTATCCACTAGAGTTGCTTTACACCACTTACCTTCCCATAGATTCTACTACAGACCCAGGGAAAAATCTCATTTGCAACTTTCTGAATAGATATTTGCAACCCATCTTCCTTCAAAACATTTTAGAACCTAACTATCATCAAATCAGTCCTTTGGGACCCAAATGCCGTTCTCCCTATAATATATAAGCACACTACACCCAAATAATGATGTAAAGTTCCATGCCATATGATTCCTACAGTCAAATATTCTCATAAGTTAAAAGCTATGCAACAAATGATAATAGAAAGTTAAAAGTGAACAAAACTTATTTTAAAAGGAGTTCAACCCAAGGGAATTGTATACATTAGAAAACTACACTTGAACAGGAAACTATTGCATTGACTTGAAGTAAGTTCCATTAGCTTAGGACAAAATTCATCAACCACAAAAATAGTAAATAATAATAATAATAATAATAATTATTGCCCAACAATATGGAGGAAGGTTCTACAACTACAAAAAGCACACTCAGTAACAGGGGATATGCTGACTCACAACACAATTATGTTTGATCTGCCACTGGTGAAAAAGTTAGCACAAAATATGGGCACATCATATTCTACTTTTGGAAAGACAGCAAAATCCAGAACCTGCACAAAAGGGTTCAAGACAAAGTTATAAGCTTATTGAGAAGAAAACAAGCAGCATGTACCATACAAACAACAACAACAACAACAAGCCTTTATCCCACTAGGTGGGGTCGGCTACATGGATTGCAAGACGCCATTGTGCTCTATCATTTATTAAGCTTTTAGAAATATTATTAATTAAGAGATCACGTTCAACAACTTCCAAGAGTGTTCTCTTAGGCCTTCCTCTACCTCTCTTAATCGGACTCAAAGTTATATGTTCCACTCTTCTCACTGGTGCCTCCCTTGGTCTTCTTTGTACATGCCCAAACCATCTCAACCGATTTTCTACCATTTTTTCCTCAATAGGTGCCACCCTCACTTTTTCACGTATGTGCTCATTTCGAATTTTATCTTTACGTGTATGTCCGCACATCCATCGTAACATTCTCATCTCTGCTACTCCAACTTTATGCTCTTGCTGTCCCGTTAGAGCCCAGCATTCACTACTATATAACATTGCCGGTCTGATAGCAGTACGATAAAACTTTCCTTTAAGTTTATTAGGCACCCTACGGTCACAAATAACTCCTTTAGCTTTTCTCCAATTAAACCACCCAGCTTGAATTCTATGTGAAATATCTCCACTGATTTCGCCATCATTTTGAATAATGGCTCCCAAATATCTAAACTTTTCCACTTGAGGTATAATTTGATCTCCCAATTTCACTTCGAAATTATTTTCGAATAGTCCTTTACCAAATTTACAATATAAATATTCCGTCTTACTTCTACTCAGACGAAAACCTTTCGACTCCAATGTCCTCCTCCATAACTCAAGTTTGCAATTAACCTCTTCTCTTGTCTCTGCTATAAGAACTATATCATCCGCAAAGAGCATACATTTCGGGATTTCCTCTTGAATATGTTCCGTCAAAACATTTAAAATCAAGTTGAACAAATAAGGACTCAGAGATGATCCCTGATGTAGTCCAATCTTTATAGGAAAATCCTTTGTTTGACCACTAGGCGTTCTTATACTAGTTTTTACCCCCTCATACATATCTTGTATGGCTTTAATATAAGCAATCCGTACTCCCTTTTTTTCCAACGCTTTCCAAAGCACTTCTCTTGGTATACGGTCATAAGCTTTTTCCAAATCAATAAAAACCATGTGTAGATCTTTATCTTTACAACGATACTTTTCCATTAATCCCCTTAGTAGATAAATCGCCTCTGTAGTTGATCTACCTGGCATAAAACCAAATTGATTCTCAGAAATACTTGTCTCCAATCTCAACCTGTGCTCAATTACTTTCTCCCACAATTTCATTGTGTGGCTCATGAGTTTAATCCCTCTATAGTTAGTACAATTCTGAATATCTCCTTTATTTTTATAAATAGGAATTAATGTACTTCTCCTCCACTCATCAGGCATTTTCTTGGACCGTAAAATCACATTAAATAACTTAGTTAACCATCTCACCCCTTCTTCACCTAAACATTTCCACGCTTCGATAGATATACAATCAGGTCCGTTAGCTCTACCATTTGCCATTTTCTTAAGAGCTTCCTTTACCTCCTTATCACGTATTTTTCGATAGAATGACAAATTTTGTTCTCCTTCACCAGTTACTAAATCCTCCAAGTTACTAGATGAATCCTCTCCATCATTGAAAAGTTTAGAAAAATAAGTCTCCCATCTATTTTTAATTTCATCATCTGTAACTAAAATTCTTCCCTCTTCATCCTTAATACACCTTACCTGTTCTAGATCTCTTGATTTTCTTTCCCTACTCTTGGCAATCTTATAAATATTTTGCTCTCCTTCCTTCGTCTCAAGGTTCTTATAAAATTCTTCAAAAGCTTTGGAACGAGCTTCACCCACAGCTCTCTTAGTTTCCTTCTTAGCCATACGGTACCTCTCCCAATTTTCCTCATTGTTACACAAATGTATGGCTTTAAAACAGTTCTTCTTATACTTGATTTTGTCCTGTACACTATTATTCCACCACCAAGACTCCTTATCTCTCGGACCAGAACCTTTCGATTCTCCCAAAACTACTTTTGCAACCTCCCGTATCTTTTTAGCCATATCCTCCCATATGATGTTAGCACTTCCCTGAGAATCCCAAATTCCTTTATCCAAAAGATTTTGCTTGAAAATATCTTGCTTCTCACCTTTTAATTGCCACCACCTAATCCTTGGTGTTACTACTTGTCGACGTTTTTGGATTTTACTCATAATACACACATCAAGGACTAGGACCCTGTGTTGTGTCGTTACAGCATCTCCAGGGATCACCTTACAATTTTTACAAAGTTTTCTATCTGTGTTCCTAACCAAAAGAAAATCAATCTGCGACCTTGAGGCTCCACTTTTGTAAGTGATGAGATGCTCATCTCTCTTCTTGAAACAAGTGTTGGCAATTTTAAAATCATATGCCAATGAGAAATCAAGAAGAGTTTGCCCTTCATTGTTTAGCTCTCCAAAACCAAAACCACCATGCACCCTCGCATACTGACCAGCTTCCCTCCCGACATGCGCATTGAAGTCTCCTCCAATAAAAATCTTTTCACTCTGTGGTATGTGTCGAATCAACCCCTCCAGATCCTCCCAAAATAATTCCTTAAGACTGGCTTCTGTCCCGACTTGCGGCGCATAAGCGCTAACAATATTAACAGTCTCACGTCCAATTATCATTTTTAAAGAAATAATTCTGTCTCCAATTCTGCTAACTTCTACAACGTTCTTCTTCCACTCCTTATCTATAATGATGCCTACTCCATTGCGTGCACTTACTTTTCCTGTATACCAAAGTTTGAAACCTTGAATATCCTTAGCTCTTTCTCCACGCCATTTTGTTTCTTGCAAGCAAAGGATATTGATTTTCCTTTGAATCATAACCCCTACAACCTCTACAGATTTACAATTTAATGTCCCAACATTCCAAGTACCAAATCTAATTTTGCTCTTATGGACTAACTTCTTTAGCCGCGTGCGTCCAGAACAGCATGTACCATGCATAAATAATTTATAACTCAGCCCAAAGGCAAGAAGACACATAACACCTCAACAAGGACTTCTATTTATTTTTCTTTCATTCATTTAGAACTTCAAAATTGGTCCTAGTTCATATGAAGGCAAGAAAATTTGGAGACTTTTTTCTTCTCTTATGGGTTCAATTTTTCATGGTGAAACATTAAGATTTCCACAAAGTAAATAATTATATTCTGTTTTCATTTTAACAATTTTCTTGTGATCTTTCATACATACACACGTAATACTTGTTAATGGTGTTATCCCCTACTCTCACTCCATTTCTATTTCTAATTACAAAGATTGTGGCAATCTTTGTAATTAGAAATAGAAATGGAGAGTAGGGGATAACACCAGTGACAAGGATGAAATGTGATGCTTTGTATAAAGAGTGTGACCAGGAGAAATAATGGGTTACTGTAATCCTCTGTAATTATATTCCCCAAATGCATATTCAATCAAGATACATCCCTCACGTTAGATGATGAAAATGGTATTATGGAAAATTAAATCCAGCAAGGAGCACCACTGTCAATTCAAGCACTAGGAATTTTGACAGGTGAGAAGGGATGCCTAAATGATAATAGAAAGGTCGGGATTTTTGAGAAACTGTAGATGAAGTTTGAAGTATTGCCATCAGCAAGTATATAGAGAACAACGCATTGTTTTTTTTATTTTATTTTTTAGTTGGGGGGGAGGTAAGGAAGATTTTGGGATAGTGTTGAGAGAGCCTATGCCTCTTGAATGCATGGGAAGCTGAGATAGTTTGCTGAGAGTGTTGTAATAATTGATTTCCAGAATTATAGTATGCTGAGAGTATTCACCCAGTTTTCCATACTTGTCAACTTGGGAAATGTCCACCATCTTCTGCAGTTCCACAGTCTTTACCTCCATTTTAACAGATCATGTGGAGTTACAGGGTTCACCCAAGGCAGTTTTAAAGGCTTGGCACCTTACCAATGGCCAAGTGGAGATTCTCATCAAATGGCATGGCTTGCCTGAGTATGACGAGACTTGGTAAAATTGTGATGTGATTCAGCAGCAGTCTTCCTTCTTTCACCTTGAGGACAAGGTGACACTTAATTTTTGGATTTTTCTTGTAGGGAGTAATGATGGAAATGGGCCTCAATTCACTTACTCAAGAGAAAGCCAAATACCAAGACTTAATTTAAGGACAATTGGGAATTTTCTTGTTTTCACCATTAGAGGTGAAATGAGAATAGTTTTTGCACAAAGGTGGTTTTGTGAGGAAGATTTTGGGATGGATTTGGAAGAGCCTATGCCTCTCAAATGCATAGGAAGCAGAGATAGTTTTGCCGAGGATATTGTCATCCTCAATTTCCAGAATTATAGCGTTCTGTAATTCCTCACTTAGACCTACACCCTGGTTGTAATGATCGATGATATAATTTTTATGCAGCTGGTTTCATCAAATTGTTTCAGGTGAACCTTTAAAGTTGTTTGGCATTCATTAATTCATTGATCAGGTCAAAAGGGTAAACAAGGATTGACAGCAAGGAATATAAATATTGAGGGCGATCAATAATTCTAGCTATAATAAATTACCAGCCACAACAAAAGCATTCGTTAGATGGTAGTGAAAATCAATTCCATGTACACCATCAAATTTAGTAACATTTTCAATGAAATACTTCAAAAGTAAAAGTAACTATCTTTAGAAGAATCCTGAAGTTATCTAGTATTTTGGGGCACTTTAAAACCCAAGAAAAGGTATGTCATTTCCTAACTAAATAGAAAAGGAATACCTGCATTGTTTCAGTTTCAATGCTCAAACTTCGCAGAAGCCTAATCTTGGCAGCTTGAAAGGACAGCATATGAAGCACTCCTTTGCCATCCTTAGAATTGATAGAATTGAATTTTTCCTAGTAAGACAAATTATTGTAGTAAGCATTTGTTAATGTTGACAGGATACTCATAAATACTATACCAAAATCCAGTAACCAAAACCATAGACTGTACCTGTAATTTAGTAAACTAAAACATTGTCCAGTGCACTAACTAAAATTCAAGCAAGTGAAACATTTCAGTACGACCATGGGTTTCCAAAAGGCATAAAATACATTTCAAAGAGAAACAATCATGAATACAATGGAAGGAACAGGACACTTCTTGACGAACAAGCCAATGCAACAAAAACTGAAAAATAAGGACAAGTCATGAAACAATTTTGAAATATACTTTAATTTTAAGAAATTAAAAGTAGAAATGAAATGTTGACCAGAGTGATTATTTATTTCAATGTTCAATTGTAAAATCTCATCAACAAAATGTGTTTAGGAATTCTCTAAAACACTAATAACAAATGCCCATGAGGTGTTCAGCTATAATAAAAGAGGGAATGACAATTATGTCATAAAAGTTCAATTTAATAATAGTTAAGTCCCAAGCAATTTTGTTGAAAGATGGGTTGCAAATATATATTCAAATAGTTGCAAATATGAGAGTCTCAATTGTAAGCTACTAAAAGTGACTCATGCCACTTTAATGCCTAATTTGCAACTAAAACTTTCATATCTGCAACAATCTGAATCAATATTAGCAAATCATGTTGATGTAACACACACTTGCACAGATCTGAATAGAGGGAGAGAGCAGAGAGAAACCAGAAACAGGGAGAAAGAAATGAAGAAGATGAAGACAGAACAGTGAGGGAGCATGAGGGAGAGGCAGAATGCAGAGAGATGGGAGAGCTATCTGAATATTCAATCACAATTTTTCATTCATCAAGTGTGTCCATTGGAAGTGCAACCAAGTCTATTTAACAAAACTCTAATGCCTAAATAAGGAAACCTTAATCATATCTACATATAGAGCTAACTTTCAGATTTTCTCTTACAAAAGAACACAAAAGAAACCTTAACACCTTGTCCATACAAAGTTTGGCTTTAGATTTCCCTTCTTACAAAATATTAAAATAACATAAAGAGAATTTATTTTTATTTTTTTTTAGAATAATGTCTCCCATATTTTCTATCACATGTTTTAGTATAATTCTTTGGGACCTAACTGGCATCACATTGATCTTTTGGGACCTCAGGATCATTTTCCATGACTAAGATTTAAAAACAGAAGTAGCATTCTACCAAGAGTATGATCACGTTATGAGCATCGATGCCCAAACATTGGACACAGCAACCCTTTTAAGTTTTAGTACTTCATAGAATTCTGTGTTTGCACTAACATTAAATTGAATATATATCTACTTACTCATAAAGAAGCTATCATGGGCACTAATCACCATAATGATTGGAATCATCAATAATCAAGTTTCTAAGGCAAATATTTAGACAATATAAATAACCAAGAGTGAGCATCAATACTCTATAAATGTAACCAACATAATAACAAAAGGGAGGATTGAAGTAGAAAAAAAGATTGGTTGAATCATTTTGCATCATTTAAACATTCTGGAAGTAATAACGCGCACTAGTGTCACAACTATTACTAATTCAACAACCTTTGGAAGGTCTCAGCATTGACCAAGAGATTTTTAAAAGCCAACACCAAAGACATTTGCGAGAACAACGTATCAAATTTATATCGTCTTTATTTCTTCTCTATATTACCCCTTGGTAGCAAGCGTAACTCACAGAGAGCGTAAATCAATCAAGCATAGATGCATTACGAAATTTGGTGTCCGGTGTCCATATATCTGCAACCAAAAATCATTCTTTTTTTTTTTCCTTCTGACAGCAAAGAATTATTTGACAATTCAATCGATACTATCTGTTTAGGGTATCCCATAGTCCTAAGTTCAAAATCTTACCAATTTGAAATGCTTATACTTGGTTTCAACTTCAACGCCAAGCCAAAAACCAGCATTAAGAACCAATTTAACAATCAACTACAACCAGTTCAAGTACCGTAAGATGAATCAGAAACAGGACGGAATCCATAGTAGTTCAGATATCCAAGCCATACCTGTAAAGGCGAAGGAACCAAATGAGTGTGGTGTTTGGTTTCTTCCAAAGCGAAGTCAACGAACTTCCGGTAAGAGACTGACAAGCTCTCTGCGAGAACTCTTCTGTTCCTCCAGCAGCAAGTAGAAACACTAGTACCAGTTTTAATCAGTGGCTGGAGTGCTGGTTGAAAGCAGAAGGTTGAGGGGGAAGAGCCAATCTCCATTGAGTGAAGGCTCTGTGAGATTGTTAAGCTTTCGCAGTTTCGCTTCAGAAAATTTGAAACTCGCTATCTTCGACTTTCCTTCAATGGAATTACCATTCCTGAGACCGGGTGATGGCAAGCTTTGTGGGATTGTGTCGCGAGACTCTGAATTCTGAAGGCTGCGCAGGGAGGGGCCTCCTATCAGGATTTTTAACCATTTTTAATTTTAATTATTAGAAACCAAACCAAAATTCAGGGATTTATATATTCCGAATTTGATGTTAATGAATTTATGCAAAGTTTATTAGGAAAAAAAATTTTATATTTTATAAAAAAATAATAAAATAAATAAAAATACTAAACAAAAAAAATTACCTAAATTTATCAATTTCAATTTCAAATGTTTTTTCTGGCAAAAAAAAAATTCAAATGCTTTAAATCCTAAATTAGACTTCTTTGTTTTATTACAGCACTTTATGCAGAAAAATACCCAAAATAGACATATGAAAATAATACAAGATCAAAAAATATTAAAATATTCTCATTTCTCTAAAATATTTAGGTCTATTCTAACACTAAGATAAAATAGTCTTATTTCTCTAAAATCTTTGGGTCCATTTCTAACGTTAAGATATTATTTGTAAATTGACCTTAATGCCCTTTTGTTGGGAGGGGATGACCTGGAATGGAATTGGAAATCAATGTATACTTCACTTTAAAAAAATAGAAACTTTAATTATATGAAATGACAACAAAACCTTTACAATGACAACTACTATGTTAAAATTTATAGAATTAAAGTTTTTTCAAGTTAGCAATGATCTGTAGATCAGTAACTTAGTAAATTTTTTTCTTCACGGGGTGATGATGAAAACCATTCAAGGAAAGTCCTAAGGGTGGAATTTTGTCTCTGGAGTCACACAGGTGGGTATAATTCTAAAGAGGTGGAAAGGTGAAATCACAAACATAAATAAAGAATACCCAAATATACCACATTGCTTCATTAGGCATCAGACGTTAGATTAAAAAAGAATAGTTGAGAATAAAGTTTTGATATTAAAGTAAGGAAAACATAACTTTCAGTCTTTGTATTTTGCTCATATATTATTATTGGTTCCTACACTTTTTTTTATATTCTGGGTTCTTATATTTTCATTTTTTAATGTTTTAGGTTCTTCCAAAGTCTTTAAACTTTGTTCATTTAGAGACCTAGAACATTAAAAAATGAAAATATAAAAACTCAGAATAATGAAAAAAAGTGTAGGAATTTATAACAAAATACAATCAAAGTATAGGGATTAAAAGTTATATTTTTCTATTAAAGTATACAGGCTATGGGTGAATCTCGGTTTTTTCAAGGAGAATGTGAAGAAAACAAACTTTTCTTAGCCAAGTTTTTGATTGAGGTCTTGGAGAAAAAATAGCTTTAAGAGAGGTTATAGTAGCCATTTGGGTTTTGGCTAGAAGGAAAAGGGGTTGAATTGCTTTGGGAGAGATGATAAGCTAAATTATCTTTTGTGGTCTTAAGAGGTAATTAACAATGACATTGTGATCTCCTTTAATATGACAGACTATAATTTATACCGTAAAAGTCAATCTTTCAATCAAAGCAATTAGTTGTTTGGAAGTGTTTTCTTTTCAGGATATGTTTTTGGGAAAAGACATCTCAGTTCCTACCACAAAATAATAAGGATTAAGATGGAAATTGAATTTTTCAATACGTCTTTCAACAATTAGGATCACTTTGTAGGTAGCGTGGTAATGTTTTCCAAAATCTTCTCCCATTTATTTATTCAATAAGCATAGCTTCCCAAAACTCTCCGCTCACGTAAGCCTGCAAGGTTTGCTCTTGAAGTCGAACTCATGACTTGATATATAAAAGCAAAATGTTCTCACCAACAAACCAAGAGCTAAATTGGCAGCCTGCAAGGTTCTTTGTCCTGTTTCTATCCTCATTGTCTCTGCTGTATCGTGCTAGTCTTTAAGGCTCTATTTGGTAGGAAGCATTAGAAAGATGGGAATGGGATTGGGATTGAATAAACCCAACTTATCATGTTTGGTGTGCATCATTGGTGAAGCCAATGCCAATCCCAATCCCATGTTATGTGGGATTATACAAAACCACCCACTCCCTTAGTATTGCAAAAACAATGCTGGGATTAATTTTTTCTAGACCAAATTGCCCTTGTTTAGAGTCAGCAATCTGATAATAGTTGAGAGAGATCCCATCGTCGTTGTGGTTGCAGGTATCATCGTGAGGCAGCAATCTGTTCACCGTCCTTTCTTCTAGATCTGAGTTTCAGTTCTTCATCATGATATGCGTTTTTGGGTTCTTCGTCGTTGCCGTGGTCGAACTCCTACACCAACACCATTGCCATTGCTGCTTGTGACCTCGTCATTCATCACCGTGGTGGGACTATTGCACCAACACTGTTGCCGTTGCCGCTCGCGACCTCATCAATCGTCACCTCGTCAGTCACTCATGACCTCTGGGTTCTTCATCGTCAGTGGTCACCAGCATCATTGTGGGCTTGGATTTATTGCCATCGCCTTCATTCTTGCTGCATCACCGATTAATTCTCTGATTCCCAGATCTTTAATTTATGCTTCTTAAATTTGTGGTTGTTTTCTGAGTTTTCTTCAGACAAGTGAAGCACAATGAAGATGGAAGGGTGGAAGGAAAGAGATGAGAGTATTTGAGTCTTTTTTGCAATTTTTTTGGTTTAACCCAATCTCATTTTTTGTAATCTCATGTCGTACCAAACATGATTTTTAAAAATCAGTCCCACTCTCAATCCCACTCCCACTTCCAATCCCAATTCCATTCCCAATCCTTTAAAATGCAATACCTTGTACCAAACAGGGCTTAAAAGTGAGCAATAGGCAAGCCTGCTCTATAGGGTCAAGCCCTTAAACTTGATTTTTTAAAAGTTGTTTGAATTTTGAAGCCCAACATTTATTTAAAAGACTTAGGGTATAGCTCATAAGCCCTTTATTATTATTTTTATTTTAAAAATTTAAAATTTCAATTATAACATTTTGTATTTTTTTAAATGCAAATTATAATATTTAAAAATTAAAAATAAATAATAGAAAATCAAATTTTAAAATATAAACATATATTTTAAAGTTTAAATTCAATTTAAAAATGAAAATATTTTTTTTAAAAGTTAAAATGAAAAATGGTCTAAAAGGGTTGCTTGAGCCTGTTTTTCTAGGGCCTATCAGAGCTGGACTTCAAAGCCCGTTTTTCCTAAAAAATGACATTTTTTAAGTCTGAACCTTTATAAAAATGAGTTTAAATGTATCCCCAACTCTACTAGTCTTTATCTCAAGTTCTCATCATGCCATCACCGAGATCCGTGCTCGTCTGCGTTATCACTCAGACCTATGATCGTTTTTGCTATCAATTAGATCTACATCTTTGCTCGATTCGTTCATTTTTGATGTTTTTTTTTGCCTCATACGGTCTTCTTGATCACCCTCACTTAGATTTACTACTCAAACAAGCATGATTGCTCCTTTGACTAATGTACTGTTGCAAGGGATGCCATTGCTAAAGTAAACCCAATTTTTAAGGTTGGAAAGCTTGATAGGATCTAAGTTTGGTGTATTATTGAAGCTTATCCCAGGTTGATGTAATGTTCAATTTCATCACTAAATGATCCAAGTTCCTTGCTTTTTTTAATGGTATTCTTATTATATTGTTATTTATGGTGGGAAATTAGGAATTGTGGGACATATTTGCATTTTAAAGCTTGTAACTTTTGAGAAGAAAACTATGACATCATCTCCAATATTACCAAGCATACAGAATACCAAACACGGACAATGTTATGATAACCGAGATTACCTTAATCCCCTAATAATTATCACAACCTAAGGGTTAAAGAATATTTGAGAAAAATAAGATTTTGAGAAAACCTTTTTAAAGATCGTTTGAGCTCAAATTATAGTTCAAAACCAATTAAATTAGACAATGAAATCATAAAAAATTCATCAAGCTACAAAATAATAAGCAATAATATATTTTAGCCATATAGGCACAGTGTGCAACGACACAGTACATCATCCGCCACAGCGGACTGCACAGAGGGAAATGCCCCTCTCTATACCTCACGCCTTGATCCAATAAACAATGCGCCGCAACACACGACCATTGTCATAACAGCAAACTATTGTCATGATAGCTCTTTGAGCCAACTTTTAAGACATGTCATTTCATCGTCCGACATTTAATTTGAGTGATTTAAGCATCCAAACGTAACTCTTAGAGCCACCTAGCTATTGACACCAATCCCACACCCAAACACTAAGCCAAATAAAATTTGGACACCTGAACCCAAAATAGCTCATTTTCTTTCAAAAATTACAACCAATGTACCTAAACCCCCCAAACCAAGTCCCAATAACTATGAAACCACTTGGACTAACTCAAATGAACTACAGACAACCTATTCAAGCATTCAAATCACAACTACAGCAGTCCAGACAAGATTTGACTACCAAAACCTTATTTTCAACATAAATTTCACTAGGGGTAACAATTTCTCATAAACAATCCAATGGCCAATCTATCACATAAATCAATACAAAACTAATACTTACACCAATATATCAACCTTTCACAGCCATTACAACACGAATACAACAAACCCAAGCTGAAATACCCATAGTTAACAACATAATACATGCAAGTATATCACAAAACTATATTTGTCCTAAGTTGGCATATGCGTTCAACGATTCGTTACAAATCAAAATAAGTGAAAGGACTATACAACTGAGAACTAGTCCCCTTGATGCTCAGTTGCACCTTCCTTTCCTTTGCCCCTATCAGAACCTTTACCTGTAAAATGTAACCACGAGATAAGTCAAAGACTCAATAACCAAATAGTCTAATCAACTACTCATGTGTGGGAACAGTTTATACATATGTGAAATAGTATAGTAAATCATATAACATGTCTCATAAATCTATGCATATGATTATAGTATGATATACATGATCAACACGCCACCTTATACCCTCCTTATGTCTTCTGACTGAATTTGTGAGCTAACAATTCGATAGAACTAAGTCTATGTGACTGGACTAGCCTAAAAATTCACCATTACTAGGAGGCAACCTCGGCCAAGAGCACTTTCACCTACTATAGACCACAAATTTCCCCTATCCACAAATA